TTTATGACCGAACAATTTATATCACCACACTCAATATAACAGTTTGAAAAGTTCACTTTTTTATTAACTTATCACTCGTTTCTTAATCCGGCTCGAAGGACCATGTTTTATGTTGTGAGGAATAAATATATGATGAAAGAATACTTTCTGGTATCCTCACGTTAAACGCCAAATTAATAGCGAGTAACCAGTTCAAAAAAGTGGTAAAAGACGATAGTTTTGTAAAATATTTAATTATTAACACTTAACACTTACTTTATACATATAACAATTATAATTATCTAGGTAGCTCTGAGAATCTCAATTTTAATGTGTGAAAGTTATTGGTTGCGAATGATGATAATGAATGTCTGTTGATGAATCGATGAATGAATATTTCTCCCTTAAATATACTTATAATTAGTTCCCTAACTGGGCGTAGCGAGCATTGTTTGGGGGTGCAAAAACAGTTCCGCTAGCAACACGGTTATTACCCTTATCCAGGTACTTCTATAAATATTTCGGAAAAATAAAATTTGGAAACTACACCAATAACCATGAAACGTGACTAACAAAAGATACAAAGTTTTATAACAGACGGTACTTCACAAATAAATAATATAGAATTGAATAGCAGTTTAAACATCATAAACAAAATGCCTTTCTCACGCCGGCTATAGAATTTAAATTTATACCAAAATATCTACGAATAATAAATAATATAATATTTATTGCATGAGATGCAACAGCACCTGCCAAATCAGGAAGGAACTATGAAATTCCAAGAATTACGACAATGCAGCCACCAAAACAGTATCGAAATGATATACCCCAGCTCTGTAAAACTGAAAACTACGAGATATTGGGGTATACTAATTAATGCATGTAATCCAAAATTCTTAAAAAAAGATTCGAGAAACTTTACTTATTAAACGAACTGAAAGCTAAAGAAACTATGGATTCCACTTCTTTCTCTTATTACAATGTGTAAAAGATCAGAAACAAAATGGGGTTGTAAATATTTTGATATAAAATAATTGATGTTGATTTTACATCAATACAATTATTATTTGCAACTCTATTTTGGCTCTGATCTTTCACACTAAGCAAACTATTTTGTCATGAGTCTTTTTTCTACAATAAAAAGGGGTGACAATGGCAAATAAGGAAGCATATAGAAGAATTGTTTGTTGCTGAACTGAAGAAATTATAACATAAAGATAGAAAAACTATATCTCAATCACATCAAACAAAAAATGCGGATCGTACTCAATCTCCGCAGCTGGTGATATAGTGCAAACACCACTATTAGTCTAGAAAAACTCCAATATTTAAAAAATTAACAAATGCTTGCAAAGTTTTATTAAAAAAGAAAGTACTTAAGTAAATGTAGAAAATTAAATAGGTACTCTAAAAAAGTATTTATTTGAAAAAGCTATTTTGAAAATACGTATTTTGCATTTATCATTTAAAAAACGAAAGGGAAATAAATTTAATATATACACACACCACAGCTTCTTAAAATACTCCTCATGTCACAGGTTTCCTTTATACGGTCAATAGCTATTTGCATGTGGGAACATACTTCTTCGTGGATATCCACAAGTAGCTTTCGGAGTTCATTAAAGTAATCTTCTCCGGCAACATCCTCATCAGGTTTAAAACCAAACTTTAAATGTTATGATATTCGCAGTTTCCGACCAAACACTTCATTTGGTGATGTCTGCCCAGTAGTTTCGTAGATTGACGATCGATATTCGATAAGAATGGTAGACGATCCCAATCTTGGACTTGTTAATAGTCCTGTTCATTCGTTTCGTTATTCCATTGAATTGATGATGCAGAAGTGTACTCCGGGTTTTGTGGATTCCCAATATCTTACATATGTCCTGGTATACAGCGGATACGAAATTTCAGCACTGGTCATAATGAGGCTTCATTGGTAATCAGTTGATTAAGTGTTTGACAAGCTCTATCGTTACTGTGGTGATTGGGAAAGGACCACGCATCCACCCATTGCCAATAATTAGTACGCATGGGGGCACGCTGCCGTTTTTGTGGTCCTTTACTGGGTGCGCAAATAGTGCATTTCCTACCCATATACCACTTTTTATGGTTTAAGAACAAATACTGTTCGTTAGCCACTGTTATCGGAATTTTGCAGTAACAAAGTAACAACAGCCTAGCTTGTCTATTGCGAACATGTATAACACCCAGAACAGGCTTAGTTATGCTATCATTAAATTCTCTGGAACATTTTCCATAATTCTCGAGAACTCTGGAACTTCTATTATTAACCGGTAAATGTGTGTCACTCGGCCCTTACAAAAATCTAACGCTTGATATACTTTAGTAGTAATGAATGCTCACTAGATGGCGATACACTCCCCTTATTTTGTTGAAATATATTCAAACCACCCATGACGCACTGATGAGTATTAAGGTGGTAATTTCGATAAATTCCTGACCAAGGAATTGAACGTTCTTTTTCTCTTGTATAGAATAATTTAATTGATTTGATAGGGAATACACCGATCCGACGGGACTTGAACCTTAACGAAACTCTTCTACAAGAGTAGGTGGATCGGCTTGCGAGTTTTGATGATTTAGGGAGCTAGACCATAGGTTCAATCATAATGGGGAGGTTCCTGAAGAGAAACCAAATTAAAACAAGTCCCTGAAATAGGGCAGCAGCTCTTTCAGTACTCAGAGTGGTAGAGATTACGAGGATCGGTATGGCACTATGATGCACAATACTGCGATGTGGAAGGTAATGAGAAACCACCACATTATGCTCCCCAGTGAAACATTCAACTACTGAAATTAAATGATGGCGTCCTCTGGGGTAAAGCACTCCGGACGTAAACTAGTCCCCCATTCTGATGTCCGGGCAAGGACTATCTCGGGGGATATTATACACCCACAGACACACGCGCGCACACACACACACACACACATGTATAAATATTAAAATAAAAGAAGTATCTAATCCAATAGGTTGATAGGTATTATTAGCTTAGATAGGTACTCAAATTCGCCTGTGTTCATAAATTCACCATATTGTTTAGGTAAAGAGCGTCAGAAAAGTCTCATTCGCTTTTTATCACTAGGGCGCCAAGGCTCCTTTCTCGTGGTGGAACTGACCGAATTTTTAACTATTTTAAGTAAACTAAATTTTCTTCTCCAATAGCTATTTTATATTTAGCAGCTAGGTATAGCCTGTTCAGAATTTGTTGATGTAAAATTCTTAGAAACGTGACAGGTCAGTTGTCGAAACCCAAGGGTCTGTCCTGGCTTTCGCATATGTACAGTGGCGTACATTTAAATCTTCGTAGTGACTGAAAGTTCGTTGAGCACTGGATGAAACATACATACAGTTCTAATTAATAGAAACCTAATTGTAATTATTGTAAACGGTATGTAATATATCAATAATAAATAATAAGAATAAGAACAGTGTTTTCTTAACAGTTATTAAGCACAGAGGTCTGGATACAAGAATCGAAAAAATTAACAAAGTATTTTTTAATACACATGTGGGTTGTATTTATTTACTTGTTCAAATGTTCAATTACTACGTAAACTTAAATGTACGACACTGCTTACATGCGACAGCCGGGGCAGACCCTTGTGTTTCGAAAATTGACCTGTCTCGTTTCTGAGAATTTCACATCAACAAATTTTGAACAGGTTATACCTTCATGATATTTTGCATAAAAGAGCAATCGGATTTGTGGCATATACCTATCTAATAATATCTCAAACTGCGTGGTTATTTTAATACAGCAGAATAAATTTTTCAATATTTTTTAGTTGTAACATTCTTTTTATCTAGAGAATTATGAAAATGTCATTTTAAGTTTATCTTGTAAAAAGGTTCTTACTGTATCTAAAACACTTTCAAAATGATTTTTTATAAAACATATTTATATCAAAGTTCACTGCATTGAATCCACAATTTTTGGCGAACGTCTCCATTTTCGCTGATATCTTCGGAAATCTTGTTCTAGCAAAATTTTGGCACTTTCTATTAAGTTGAGAATTTCATCTTCCCTTTGCCTTATTAAAATGAGTGTTTACCTAGGTCCATAAATAATGTATATTGCGTCTATTATGTTCAAGTCCTGTAGGTTTTACAAAAAGATCTTGATATTTTTGCGTACTAAAACAGTCTTTAAATATTTACACTGTACAGATCTACGAATTATCCCCTCAAGTCGCTAGTGACGCAATAAAATGCTTCTATAAACGCCTCACTATGGGGTACTTAGCTCAAAATATTGACCAAGAGAACGATTTCTTGATGATGTTATAAGGGTAATCTTCGCTACCTGTGAGAGTTCAGTGAACACCGAATTAAGGTCCCTATGTCCTATTGTAATCTTATTACAACCCATGCACGAATGCTCTTCGAGTTTTTCAAGCAGATTTACTTACATGCTTTTTATACAAAAATATGAAAACAGTCTATTTTTAACGTATTTACTAATTAATAACACAAATTGAACAAGCCAACTAATGAAGCTGATATGGGGGGGGGGGCATCCTCCGCAATCCCCTCTTCCTTGGCTAGGGGTCTGTTTAGTATACTAAACAGCATTATTACAGATTTTTTTTGGTCGAGTATTAAAAGGTTATTTTTTATTTTTAAATAATAAACACAAATTAATAATCGTATTTTAAATATTAAGAAACAAAAAAAATTAGAAATTTACACCTGAAAGTACTCAAAATACTGACAACAAAATAACATAACGAACATTCTCGCACGCTTACGCAACCACGCACGCACGCCCGCCCGCCCAAAAATTGTAGGGTAAGGTTCCAGAATTAATCAAGAACATATTCTGTGATGGCATAACGTTTTAACATCTAACGCATTGTAGTCGACTGAAGACATGTGTTTTAAATGTGTTAAAATCAGATGTCCAACACTTTCATTATACCTACTTACCTTCTTTATTTTATAACTGATTGTCATCTTTTTTTAATAGTACGTTGACAATAAGAAAACATTAAAATTATTCTTTTCAGAATAAAAACTAACTCTTCATGTTTATTATCATAAAAATATTTGTACAATAAAATGTATGCTCTTCAACTGTATTTATATATGTACAATTTGAAAAATATATTAAACGATTGTTACTTTCAAAAATAAACAACGTACAATTGGTACATACAAACAAAGTTTTGTTTCATTTTTCTGTTTTTAATATGCGATACAAACACGCATCCAAATAAAAAGAAAAAGAATTCTGATACCGAAACCTACATACTACAAAATATATTGCCATATACAATGTGTAAAAGGCTTTTCGTATATTTATTCCTCCGATCGATACGTAAACAATTATAGTACTTCTTAACTGTTGGTTATAAAGGCAAAGTCCCGGTTAGTCTTCACGTGGACTGACTCGTGGATGCAGCTGAAAAAAGAAATAACATAAAATCATCAATCAATTTTATTGAAAATTTCTTATATTAATCAATATTAAAATATTATTGTGCATGCAGCTGAAAAAAGAAAGTATTGTAATCGATAATGCTTATTAAAATTTCTTTTAGTTGAATTGTATTATTTGTAAATATGAATTTATTTAAGAAACGTACTCCAAGGAGATTTCTTGGTACATATCCTTCCTTATCGTCCAATCGACACCACCACCATTCTCTTTCATATTCATCCCCTTTTCTTATCACTGTAAGTTGTTGTCCAGCTGTAAAACTTAGTTCGTCCGGTTGCTGCGCTGTATAGTCGAAAACTGCGTACACACTACCCCCAGACAAAATCCCCAATTTCTCTTGCACACCTAGAACAAAAACGTCATTTTTGAAAATTAGTCTTAATGCAAATAATTGATTCTGATGTGGTAGTCTCTTGTTTTAGGAATGTTGGTATCTATTAATTACTCATGTCTAAAGAAGCCAAGATTTGGTGATGTGTATATATGTTACATTTTATATATATATACGCTTAATAACCGACTCTGTTTATATTTTACAATCGATTATTTACTTACTGTATAAATACTCAGAACATCCATCGAATCCTTCTTCATCTTCCTCACACTTTTCTGCAGCCGTCTCGTGGTCGCTGAGGGTGGTAGCAAAAATGCAAGCTCCATGCTCAACAAGAAACTTGACCATTGCCACGTTATTGCAACTGGCAGCGCAATGTAATGGTGTCCAACCATCACTATCTTGTGCGTTGACATCACAGCCAAATTCGACAAGAAACTTGACGATTTCGAAATGTCCAGCACAAATCGCGTTATGTAATGCCGTGATTCCCTCATCGTTTGCGGCACTTGGATTTGGTACTTGGGAAGCAGTTTTTTTAACCAGTTCGAGTTCTCCTTCTAAACTGGCGTCAAGTAAAAGGGCCAAGGGGTCAAAACTAACCCTTCTCGACAAATTTACTTTGCCTGTTTGTTTCAAGTTGCCCTTTTTACATCGCCTAATGACCTCGGTTGATTTTAATTCATCCTTGTTATTGTTAGAACTGTCGTTTTCTTTATATGTTGTCATTTCTTCACTACCCTGTTTATCTTCCTCTTGAGTTGAATGTTTAATTAGTTCTATTGATTTGTTATCGTGATTAGTCGTTTCAGGAGAATGATATTGCGGAGGTAACTCCATCCTCCGATTGTTCACTAGGTACCCGTTTGTTTTTGCTGTCATATTCATACTCCTCAATTTTGGTTGTTCGCTGAGGGGCTGCTTTTTTATTTGCAGCGGTTTTGCTTTAATTATGGGCAAGTTTTCGCTCGCTTGATATTGAGTTTGTTGTTGGTTTTCGTGAGGAGGCAAAGGAACTTTCTGGTTCAAACTTTTTGATGATTGTGTTGTTGGCGGTGGGGGTGGTCGATGACTCAATTCTATATTTTGTACTTCGGGAGGTTTTTCGATGTTATTGGTTGTAAAATCGCTTTCGTTATGGATTTGCGTTGTTTGTCTAGGGGGTGGTTTTATGGCAGGTTTTGGTGGTAGTGCGGGTTTAATGGATTTATCCAATGAAACCTCAGGTGTTCCCAAGGGAGTGCTGTTGGCTTGGGGCGGCGATAAAACTCCTAATTGTGGCGATTGAATCGTTGTGGTTAAATGGTTTGGAGGAGAGAGAAATTGTTTGCTATTACTAGTAACTGTTTGTGGTTCTACTGGTTGAACTTTCATCGAAGAAGTTTGATAAATATTCGATAGTTTTCCGGCATGATGAACTGAGGTTGGAGCCACACTACTAATTGGTTTCTGGAAAAATAATTTTTATGATGGAATTTTTGATTAGCGTTAAAAAGACTCACCTGATACGAGTGAAGAGTAGGAATGGGCATTGAATAAGAGGCTGTGCTTCCTACAGGAACATTTTTTATAATGTCTGTATTTGAGACACAATTATTACCATTTGACGACTGGTATTCGTGCTTCTTATTAATTAAGTCGTTTTGACTCAGGGGGGTCGCAATGTTTTTGTTGACGACATTCAAAGGTGCACTATGCACGGTCATATGATGACTTTGCAGGTTTATATTCGATGTTGCGCTTGATATGTGCTGCACTGCAGCGTCTGGGACGTCTTTCGCTCCTTCGTTGAAATTGTTATTGTCCATGTTGTTGGTCGTACGGTTTGCTACAAGGCTAACAGTGAACTTGGTGTTGTAGGGAAGCGTTTGGTATTTTGGATCCGACTTTGATACGCTAAATTCCTTTAACGTATCCACCCCGTCTTCTGTCGTCTTTAAAGCTGCACCTTTATTATTAGAGTCTTGTTGTTGGTTAATGTGCTCCGACTTGTGGTTGTTCGTCTGCTGCTGCTGGTCAGCTCCATTTATTTGATTATGTTGATAAACTGGGTGATATGTTTGTTGGTTCTAAAATTAAAGGCATGGATTTTATTTTGACTCATTTATTGACAGCAAAATGTGGAGGGAATGTAAAGCTTACGTCTTGAATACCACAGTGGATATTTCTAAGGTAGTTGTTGGATATTGGAAGGGGAACGTGATTGTAGGGTTCAACGGCTGCGATGTTGTTTTTAGATAAACCATTCGGGGGTTGTTGGTTAGGTGGCTGAGACTTCTTGTTGTAACACTGGTTTGTTTGGTCCACATTTCCTGTAAGTCTAAAGGAAAAAAAGTGGTTTTGAAATTAGATAAGGATGTAAATTGAATTTTAGCATTAAATCAATAAAGGAAATGAATAAACAAGGACCGGTTATCTTCATACCTTGCAAATTGATGATAAGCTGCTTTGTTTGAGGCGGCACTGATTTGATTCGCCAACTGTTGATTCAAAAGCCGCTTACGATGCAGTCTTTCTTGAAGTTCGGAAATCCTTTTGTCGATGTTGCTCATTTCCTCTTGACGCGCGGCCAGTGCCTCCCTTTGCTGGTTCAACCTCTGATTTTGCTGCTCATTCAGTTTATTACGATACTAGAATCAAACAGAAACTACTAAACGGCCAAGTTCAAAGGGAACCAATCACGAACGGTTGCTAGTGATGTGACTTAATGAAAATCGAAATTAACTCTTTGAAATGGTCATCTAAACTATCATGTTGTAAAAACCATTGGTTATTTAGAATCTCCAGTTATTAGAAGGGACCAAAGAATTTTAATTCCGTTAAAAAATTATAAGAGTATAAATAATAACGTTTAGATTTCTATCTTTATCCTAGTATTTTAAACAAAAGCAACTTCTACCTTCTACTTATTTTATTAATTATGATAAACAACCCAAATAATTTGGAGATTCGAACGGTTGGGAAATTACACAGTTATTATTATAATTATTATTTCTAGAAGGTTAAATCTGCTATCTGAAAAGTATGATAAAAGCGTATGCCCTAAGGAGGAGATTTATTTCTTGAAACTTTTATTCTGCATCTTTGTTAAAAATGAGATAAAAAGTTTGAGAATATTAAGGTTCTAAGATTTAATTTCGGGGTCTGTGGCAATGCAGTAAATATATATATGTTTTAGGCAATATTTAAAAATGATTTATTATTATTATGAATTTAACATTCAAGGGAAAATTTTCTGTTTTAATCGGAGACCTTCTTTTACTTCCAAGTTAATGTAGGTAGTAATTCACCGTGCTGGAGTACTGAGATATAAAAAGCAATAAAACTATCTCACCAGAACATCTATTTTCTTCCTTAAATTGAGTTACTGGATTCATATTTGTTTGTTTGCAAAATGTAAGTACGAAATTGGATAACAAATATTATACAATGGGAAAAAGAAATAAAAAAGATGTTACCCAGTTTCTTCACTCACCATAAGCTCTCTTCTTAACTTATCCAATTCTAGAGCGGCTGCCGGTGGGGTGTCATCCTGATTCCTCCCCCGTCGTAGTTCCTCTAATTGCCGCGTCAATTCTTCTACTTTAGCCACAGCCAACGAAAGTTCCTTTTCTTTCTCATTGAATAAGGCTCTTATTGATTCAAGGTCACTTGCTGTAAGAAAAGCCATTGTAAAGAAAAAGAAGCAATTTCATATTTGCACATTTTATTTCAATAAAAGTGCAAAACCAAAAACTGTGAATTTTTTATATCAATAAAATATTTTACAGTCAGAAACTTCAATCTAAGTTTTTTATCAATATTTGTTTCCGTTGTTCGATTTGGATGGTGCCTACTGATGAGCAAGTGTAGGTACAATTTCGACTTTCTCATTGAGAGTAATACCTACTTGAATTTCAAGGCAATCATTTTGTATCTTCATTACAAATGATAGGAAAATTTTATGCACCTACTGCCTATTTATTGGTACCTAAATACCCGTGGCATGTAACATTATATTATTCGTTGCCATGTTAATCGAATACAAACATAGCATTTATCGATTTAAATATCTTTTTGATTATAAACATCAAACATTTAGAAATTCATACTTTCAAGGGATCGGTAATGTAATACCTCATTATTGCATACACTATTTAAACTATCTATGGTACAATTATGATGAAACGTTGTTAGTTGGTATATATACAGGGTGTAACAGTAATAAGGTAATGATTGCAGGAAGTGATAAAAAACAAGAAAATTACGTAAAGTTAGGATGTCCGAAAGTTCACCGTTTTCGAGAAAAGCGCATTTGAAAGTACAGGCCATGTTATTCCGGCGCTGGGAAATCACGCAGAGAAATACGACGACGCTCAATTCAGCTGGTAATTAGCAGTATCAGTGTTTTATTTATCTCTCATTTCACGTATTGTTTGCTATGTGTTAAATTAGATTAAGGATGTTTGGGAGGTACAACTGGAGACAATAGTACATAAAATTAGAAATGCGTGATTAATTAGGTTTTGCAGCATATTATGAGGTAAATAAATACTATCTATACTAAAAGAAAGTATACGGTTTGAAAGAAAATTTGGAATTTAACCGAAAACTTTGAATGAAATAAGAAATAACGAATAATATGGAAAATTTTTAACTGACTTTTGGCAGTGAATATGCCTTGATTTCAACTTCGAAACAAAAAAATATTTAGTTTCAATGTCTATTAATAATGAGCGTCAATTTCAGACAATTATAAATATTATCATATTATCAAGTAAAAACGAGATTTTCAGCTAATTTTTCATTTTTTCCTCGATAACCATTTAGTGAATTTGAATAACCTTACGCTAAAGTGATTCTCCAGAGTTCAAGTTACTTATTATAAAAGTTTGAAATTTCTGGTAGCTTTTTTTCTGTTAATAAAAATAAATTTAATCTGTTCGGTTAACGAAGCTCCATAAAATGACGTGTAAAATTACAATTTTTTAAAATTTCAATAACGTTTTAACGGTTTAGTGAATCGATTTGTAATTTTTACAGGAGTTTTAGAATTGAATGAGGAACGTTCTTCCAAATTTTTATTTATCTTGTAGCATTTTGACATACCTCCAAAACATCCTTAAGTGTGATTCAAGATGTTTGTTACAACCAGCCTGTACTAGTTATTTTTTGTAACCTTATATGTTTTTAATTAATCGATGTCATTGGCAGTAACTTGTAAGTCACTGTCAATGCAACGATCGATAGTCATCGACATCCCTCAGCGAATACTTCCTAACCGTCTTATACGTCCCCATATTACATGAAAGGAGTAATGAACACCCTCTATATTTGAGGACCTTGTCATGACAAGCAAAATAGCACGGAATGTTGGGTGACTGTAGCAAATTTTAAAGGAGGAGTTGCTGCATCTTTATTGCAGCAAGTGGCTTTACAAAAATGACAAATATCAAAATTATTCATTTACCTTCTAATGTTTACGTAATCTAATTTTTTTCTTTCCTATGTGTTCTTAATGCATGTTGAGGTGTAATTTGAATAGTGCTGCATACTATTAGCGATGAGCAAAGACACTTATTTAATTATTTGTATGGCATCAAACCGTTCGACAACCGGCACTGTTTACATTCTCCGATGAAGTAGTTGTTGAATTTCAATCGCAATTTTTTTATTATCGTTAACAACGATGCTACATTCACCATGCGATTTCTTACTGCACTTATTTCACTTAAACCGTGTATATTTTTGATAAATAAAAGCAAAAGTTTCAACTAGATGATTTATTAAAAATACGCTACAATTTCTTCGACTGAAGGACATTTGCGAAGATTTAGGACTTTTCACTTTTAAATTTTTATTGAATTACAAAATACGTTTGGTTAAACATTGGCTTTTTAGGCAAAATTATTAGGTACAGGTACCAGTTTCTTCAAAAGACAGAAAACGAGAGGTGTTTGGCTTTTGAAGTTAATTTCTAACTCATCACCGTAATGCACGTTCATATAAATGAATACGGGTGCGAAACATGGACAGTGGGCGCGGCGGAAAAGAAAAGGTTAGAAGCGTTCGAAATGTGGTGTTATAGGCGGATGATGAGGATAACGTGGGTAGAAAAGGTTACAAATGAAGAGGTATTGGAAAGAATAGGAGAACAGAGGACTCTATGGAAGTCAATAAAAAATAGGCGAGATAGGTTGGTAGGACACCTTCTCAGGCATGAAGGTCTAGTCAGAGACATATTAGAGGCAGAAACAGGAGTTAGGAGGGGTAGAGGTAGACCTAGATTAGATTACTGTTCGCAAATAGTTAAGGATGTGGGCTGTTCTAGTTTTAGGGAAATGCGAAGTTTAGCTCAGGATAGGATAGAGTGGAGGTACGTGTCCAACCAGTCTTAGGATTGACGACCTTATGATGATGATGTCCATATTTCTTATAGAAAGTAATATTCAAAATCAGAATATTCTGGTCTTCCAACTTCAGTTTTTTTATTAGAAAATAGTATTTACCTACTTGTATCTGTGATACGTTCATTTTACTGCCCATGAATTCATCAAAAAACGTTTGATTAAACTTAAAAGAGTATTTTACATCACAAATTCTAGTTTTTGATTTTTTTAACTTTACAACATAGAAAGTGAAAAAGCATGTTTTATGTAGGCACGTCGTAAAGTATAATTCACAGCAGACAGTATACTAAAGTCCGCCGTACAACAAAAGGACGTTTGCGCTGGTTGAGTTAATTATTCAGTACACTTAATTACATTTTTCTAAAAGGTCCTTGAAGATTGTAAAGACTGCTGTTAGTAGTAATTTTCCGCTATTTTACTTTGAAGCAGGTGGTCGAAAATTGCTTGCACGCCAGCTTTGCAGCACAGGATTCATAAAATATTCTCGCTCTGAAAAATCCCATTTCCTACTTCCTGACAACATAATGAAGTGGGTCAGTGTTCTTATATTCATTTTAAAAGTTTAATATATATTTTATGTATTGTACTGCATATGCAGCTATTATCAAACAATTTGTTGACATGATGAGCTTTCCTCATTTTCACGTTAAAAAGTTAACTCAAATCTTCTATAAAATATAAAGGGAAGAGGTCAGAGTTGAAAACCGGTGGCATATTGTCGCCATATTAGAATGACGTGTCACGTCATGCATTTTTAGAATCTAGAACGCGAATCCCTTTGTTTCTTTTGATGCTTTCGGTAGATGCTTGTTGTTGGAAAAAGCTTCCTGTTTGTACAAGGCGACTCATACGTATGTATTCTTACCACTTCAACCGTGCTACCATCATTTTACGGAACACGTGGCATATTTACAGTTACCAGACGTACCTAATTCTTACAGGATGAGAGAAATGTTTTTATACGCAGACAGAACTCACAATGTAATCGGTATAATTATTTTCTTTGTTGTTTCATTTAAACATTCCGGCACAATGAAACAAAAAAAGACAAAGAAACAGATCACACAATTTATTATCAATCACGTTTAGATACAATGGAAGTTTCAGTTTAATGGTTCCTTAGACAAAATTTATTTCAGGTTTTCACTTTTCGTTAGACACCACATGTACTCAATTTTCAGCAGAGAAAATCTCTCATATATTCTAGACAGTAAATTAATTCGATAATAATCAACGTGAATTAATCCGAAAAACCAAACATAAAATGTCAGAAAATAATTAAAAAATTACAAAATTAGGGAACTTCCATTAATTACATGAGCTCAAAATCGGAGGAGGGATCCAATAAACTCCGAACAAATCTCATTTAAAGAGAGAGATAATAAAAAAAAAAATAGTATCTACTAAGAGTGTCTCATTTTATCCAGGTAAATCTCGCATGAAAGGGACGGGGGTCCCACCACATTTTACGAAATCTTACCAACGGGGTGGAGGCGTTCAATTTAAAAGAAATATGTACTTATGGACATATAAGGCGTTTCTGAAATAAGTAGCAAGCTTGCAGGAGGTGATAGGGTACGGGCACTACAAAACAATAAAAATTAAGGAAATGTTTGGTGGTACGAATGTTTTCGAAAAAAACCGACCCTGCTAGGATTGCGCAGGGAATACAACAATGCAGCGCCGCATTCAGTTAGCTAGTAACGTCCCCGTTGCATTTCTTTCGTATTTTTGAGTCATGCATTGTTTATTTATTAGAATAGATTAAGTGTGATTGATGATGTTTATGTTACAGCAAGCTAGTGTGGTTCTTTGTTCTTTTAACGTTGTAGGTTCGTATACATGTAGCCAATGAAGTCATTGACAGTAGGTCAGTGTGCCACTATCATAGGTCAGTGCAGAAAAGTATTATTGCGCTGACCAATATGTGATACTACAAACGAACAGTTTCTTAGACGCTGGATTGGACGCAGGGGCGCAACAACGTTACACTTTGACTGGGTGTTCCCATCGTAATACTATAAATGACTTAAAAAAAAGGTTACAATGTATTGAATTTCTAATACTTGAAAAAATCGAGTTCGGCTGCTCATTTACGAGCTTAAACTATTTGAACCGAACTTTCAAGTTGGGTTATTATCTGAATCGACTGGAATTGGCTGAGTGCTCAACCCAATCGAGGAGGTGTCTAGGCACCCGTGAACCCCCCTTGTTGCGTCCCTGATGGAGCGTACAAGTCCTGTATCCTGGCTGCCCGTAATCTGG